TTTGGTTTTTGGCAGAATTTAGGCCACAACTTTATTGATTACAGAAAGTGACTGGTTGCATAGGCTCTGGTTCAACTAGCTCCCTGCCATGCAGGTAGCACTGACCCAGGGTTCTAGCATAGGTCAGCCAAGGATGAACACCAGGATAAGAGGAAAGCCGGGAACGGCCACCCAAATGTCCCCCTGGACTCAGGCAAGGGCACAACCCCTTCTCAGGGGTTGACCAAACCATCGAGTCCCTGGATTCCTTTAACGGAATACCCTTCACATAGGAATGGCGAGAGCGTTCTCCCATCCCTATCACCTGAACCAGAGCCTATCCACAACCTTACAAGTTGTGACGTTTTGCTACGCGGCAGGCGAAACCCAAATGGCAACAGTCAATCAGCCATGTAGGGAAAATTCCTGCAATGCCCCTGTCCCAATGACAGACGACATACGATGGCATAGCAAGGTCAAGCGCAAAGCCCTAAAAGTAGGGAGAGGTGGACGGGTGTTCCAAATGCACATGCCGAAAGAGGAAGCTCTGGGTCACGTGCATGGGCATAAATAGATCCCTCGAACCGTTTGAACTGTGTCCCATTGGCCAAATTGTACCCAGCTTCGAGGGACCTACCAATCGGGTGTTGTGGCTATCCAAACATACCCACCCACAACATAGAGTGTCGGTTGTCCAGGTCTCACTGCAATATGTGCCCTCTTTAAGGGAGGGCCCGATTTTTCTGCAGTGGCAAAATACGCAGGAGGGTTTTGCATGCTGAAACCTACTCTTCGGTCACTTCATTAAAAAGCAGAACATACTGCCAAGCCAATGGCTACAGCCCCAGTCCTGCCCTTCTCTCAGCAACAGGTTGGCATGAAAGATGCAAATGTCCTACCATGGGATAAGTTGCCACACTGATTCCAAGCTCATCTAAAGAACATTTGCTTGGAGGACTGGGAATTCTGTTTATGCAATTCAGTTCACTTAAGACCAGATTTTTAGGATTTTCTGGATCCACATCAGGCTTGCCACATTTGCCAGAACAGTACCCTGAGAGAAAAGACATCTGTGGAGTGAAAGGCTCAGGAAAAATGCCTTCAGGGGGCCCCTCGGTTCCCCCCAAACCGAGTTGTGCTTCTCCTCCAGATTGCTTCTGGCATTCACTTGATCTTTCCTTCCCCAGAGTGGTGTGACCACTGGTCCTCTTCCTCCTCCTCCTCACCATTCTTCTTCCATTGCTACCAGGTGAATCAGCAAGTGGTGGGAGAGAGGGGTAGCAGTGAATCAGAGTCATGAGTTTGTGCCCCACATTGAGGGGGAAATTCCTGCAATGCAGGGGGTTGAAGTAGATGACACTTGTGGGCCCTTCCAACTCTACAATTCTATGATTCTAAGTGGAACGCTGCTCATTCAGCAGTGGGAACAACCCACTAGTCCTGGGCCATGATTTTACTGATCAATTTATTAAAGGTATATCTTGCCCTTCCTTCCAAAGGAGCCTGGGGCAGCATGACCTGAAGGTACATGATGCAGAACCTTGCTGAAGCTAAGCAGGTATGAGTTCTGGTCATTTTCTGGATGGGAGACTGTTTGGAAATCTTAGGCATGCTTCCATCACTGAATAAATACAGCTTATCAATAATAAAATATACCTCTGTATTGAAACACAAAAATCTCCAACTCTAACCTGGAATCTCTTTAAAAGAAAAGCTACCTTATATCCGAGCATCCCACCTGTGTTGTCGTCTAATAATAAAGGCAATTCCAACAAGGTCGAGGTGTTTAACCTTGGAACTACTTTGATGTTGAGTGGGACCTATTTAATTTTAACTTCACAAAGCGATTAAGCCAAATAATTTCCAGGAGACTACATTTCATATGCAAATGTTAAAACAGTGTGATGCTAATCCATCATACCTCCCCCCCTCCCCAAAATTAAAGCATTTGGGAGCGGGAGTAATTCAAACAAACATACAGGTCGGTAACATCATTTTTGTTTCCATTGTTGACATTTCTTTTTTGTCTCAATTTTTTAAAACTCCATTTAAAAAACAACAACCAAAAAAACTATGGTATGTTGCAATCCATCTTTGACATTTTGTAATAGTGCCCTATAAGAATAAACTTGTATTTTTATGCCAAAATACAACATATTTGACAAATTTTAGAAACGGTGCTTACCACAAGATTCTGACAAAAGGTGGCAAAAGTAACCCACTCTTCAGTCCCAATATTCCAGAGCAGCTTACCAGTGATATATAGACAAACCCTGCCCTCAAGCTTACTTTTGTGCACATGACATGGTACAAAAGGAAAAGGGATCCGAAGGGAGAATGAAGAAGAAAAAAGCAAACTAAGGCACCAGTTCTTAGATAGAGTGCTTCTAATGAACAACTGGGATGAAAGTATTTAAAAGTGATGAGCCAAACACTGTCGGGCTATTTAAGTCCTATTGATTGCAGCTGTAGAGCAAAGCATCACCTTCAGCCACTTCAAGTGTTTAACTCTGGCTGGGGCATGCCCATTATTTTGAGGTTTATAGATATACAGCACTTTAAATAATTAATAGAAACCATTTTTTCCCAGAGAGTGCACCCATTCAAAGCAATAGTTGGGTCTTCTGTCACAGATTTTAATTTCCTGCTTTGATAGTATTTCTTAAAGAAGAGTGGTGGTGAGCAGAATGTATAACGTCTTCTCACAGATGGGCTGCTCAGAGAATGAAGTTGTCTGCACTCTGGTGAAATTTAAATCACTCATCCTCACCGCATGCTGCTTGATGCTTTACACAATCCCACCCAGCAACATAATCAGTAGAAGCAGGCTGGTCATAGAGTAGGAAGGGACTCCAGGGTTATCTAGTCCAACCCCCTGCAATGCAGGAATCTCAACTAGATCGGACATGGCAGGTGGCCATCCCACTTCTGCTTAAAAACTCTCCAAGGAAGGAGAGTCCACTACCTCTTGTGGGAGTATGTTCCACTGCTGAACAAGCTTACTGTCAGAAAGTTCTTTCTGATGTTTAGTCAGAATCTCCTTTCTTGTAACTTCAATCAACTGGTTCGCTTCCTAGCCTTCAGAGCAGGAGAAAACAAGCTTGCTCCATCCTCCATGTGACAGCTGTTTAGAAGCCATCACAGAGTTAAGGTAAAGGGACCCCTGACCATTAGGTCCAGTCATGACCGACTCTGGGGTTGCACGCTCATCTCGCTCTATAGGCCGAGGGAGCCGGCGTTTGTCCGCCGACAGCTTCCGGGTCATGTGGCCAGCATGGCTAAGCCGCTTCTGGCGAACCAGAGCAGCACACGGAAATGCCGTTTACCTTACCGCCGGAGCGGTCCCTATTTATCTACTTGCACTTTGACGTGCTTTTGAACTGCTAGGTTGGCAGGAGCTGGGACTGAGCAACAGGAGCTCACCCCATCGCGGGGATTCGAACCGCCGACCTTCTGATCGGCAAGCCCTAGGCTCTGTGGTTTAACCCACAGCGCCACCCGCCGTCCCTACACAGAGTTAGATGCACCTAAACTCACTTCCTTCCATTAGTTTAAGCATGCTGGCCTCTGTGTTGTATTGCAGCCTGCACAAAGACGTTTCCCTTTAACATGGCATCACACATTGTATATTCGCCTCCGACACTCAGGCTATCATCTCTCACACCTGTGTGTGTATGCGTGATCTAACAATCAGATTGCAACCTTTGTGACAAGCAGATTCTCTTTGCGCTAAATAGCAAGGGTTCACTTGGTTGCGTTGGTAGAACAATAATTCCAGAGAAACAGAAAAGCATATGGTGCATGATATATACCAAGACTAGCTATGCAAAGCTGAATACCTGCACTAAATCAGGCTTGTTAGTCTCTCAGAAATAAGGAACTCTGCCTCCCCGCCACCAAAAGAATGTAATTACTATCAAGGCAAAGAGATGCTCTGAAATGAGGGAACACCTGTTGTGTTCTTGACCATATAAGAAACACCTAATAATCCTGAGAAAGATGGACTTTTCAAACATGTGGTTATATATTTCAACATCTGCTTAAAAGTCTCAAGGAGAATCATTGATATTTCCCATTATCTGGACCTAAATATCAGTAACAGCAACTGGAAGAAGCGTCATTAAGAGAATTTCTTTTCTTTTTCTTCTTCCAAAGGATAGAAGGAATTACCTTGGGCACTCCCCAAAGTTCTAAAAATATTGTTATCAGCTACTAAATTACGGGCAGCAAATGTTTTATGCGTGTCTGATATGTGTGCATTTTCACATGTGTGCATTGTGTCAAACCAACCCAAAAGTGCACTGAAAATGACACAAAAAAGGGTGCAGCAGGGTGGAAAAGGAGGCCTTCAGGCTTTTTCAATGGTGTTCCAAACATATACAATTTCATTTAAACACACGGTGCCTTGGAACGCAACCCCCCATAAATTGGGAGTTGCCTGTACAGGACATTCCATGTTTTGCAAAAAAATATAAAATAAAAAAAATCCGACTTTAACATAATGAACACAAGTCAGCCAAAGATGAGTTCCCGTAGAGGAGATATAAAGACATTGATATTAAAGGAGTTTAAGAATGCACAACATTTACAAGATGCTGCACCATGCTGGACCATAGCTGTAATCTTGACGAAGATGTGATTAATAATCCATCATTAATATATGCCTTTTTGTTTACAAACATATCATTGCCAACTATTTCCTTAGGTCTTAACTCTCCTCTATAAATAGCAACAGTTCCACTACTTCTGATACATCTCACAACACATCTGTTAAATTTCACTCACCAGCCTCAATATTAGCAATCAAACCATTTTTGTTACCTTGCTTGCTGCAATCTGAAATTACCAGGCTGATTTACAGATTTTTAAACCCAAGGTACCATACGCACAAGGGAGAAGCAGGACACACCACATCACACTTACAATGACATCCATGACAGACTGTGCACATGGAATCATAGAGTTGGAAGGGACCCTAAGGATCATCTGGTCCAATCCCCTGCAATGCAGGAATATGCAACTGTTCCGTGCAGGGATCAAACCTGCAACCTTGGCTTTATCAGCACCATGCTGAAACCAACTGAGCTATGCTGGCATGCAGTGGCAAAAGTTACCCATTGAATCTCTTTTTTCTTTTTTTTTAAAAGATATTTATTGAGATTTTCAAAATGTTACAAAAAAGAGAAAAAATAAAATAGAAACAGAAGAGAGTACAAAGGATAAAAATAATTGACAAAATAGAAAAAAAGAAGAAGAAAAAAAAACCAACCCCTTCCCACCATATACAAAAAAATTCCAAATGAGAAAAAATGACAGGAAGAAAGAAAAAAAAGAAGAATGCAAAAATCACAAAACTTTAAAAACATTTAAAAACAAATTCATTATTTTCAAGTCCTTAACTGTCATTACCTTCTTTCTTAGACCTCCTCCTCCTCCCTTTCTTTGTATCCTAGTTATTAATTATCCCAGCAAATCCTTGACCTTATCTTTCTATAATAAAATAAACCTTAAAACTTAAAACTTAAATCTTATCCTTACCAACTTCTCATAATCATAATATTCTTTCATAATTCTTTAAACATCTTTGCTAAAGCCAAGTAATTTCATTCCAACATTTTTCTATCATTCATCAATTTTATAAAACAGTTCTAATGGTAGAAAAAGAGGTATAAACAGATCCAATCTTCATCCAGCGTCCCTTCCTCCTGGTTCCGGGTTTTGTCAGTCCTTATTCCCGTCAATCTAGCCCATTAACCTGGCAACCTTATGTCCGAGGCCCTCAAGTCTCTTCCATGACCCTTCCGCGGCTCTTCTTCATACTTGTAACTGTATTTTCCCTTGTCTCCTGCTCATAGTAACTCCAGCTTGACAATGTTTTTAACCCTTCTCAACAGATCAGCCCCTTTTCCATGTTCAACAATGAATTCCATGTAGTATTTAAAAGCATGTTTCAAAGGCCCTCCAAAATTGAGAGCCCCCACAGTCCCAAACATCTCACGGCCCGTTGCCGTATTTGAAAAGTCCAAACATCCCAGCATAGGGGGGTCAATCCAGCCCCCCATTTCCAAACCAAGCCAAACTTTTCCTTTCCAGATATGGCTTTTTCCAAGTTCATTTGTCAAATCCAAAAAATCATATTCCTGTTGGGCCTGTTCTGTCAAAACACACTCCTGATTTAATGTCAAAAACTCCTGTTCTGTCAAGACACACTCCTGATTTAAATCCTGAGTGGGCTCCACATATTTTCCCACTGTCTGTTCAAAGTTTCCCACTGCCTGTTCAAAATTTCTAGTCGAAGTCGCCATCCAATTCACCTTCTCGTGTAATTGTTCCAGTAGATCGTTTGTTTTATAGAGAGCATACAACAAGGCTTCTGAATACATTGTCCTACAAGGTCAGATACTTGTTCCCACGGTTGTAATCGGTAACAGCTGTCGACTCCTGGAGTTAGTTACAGTTTCACAGTTACAATTTCACAGACTCCCCTAGGGGGAAGACTTCTATTTATTCTTGCAACAAAGTTTCCTTTTTAAGATACTTTGTCCATATATAATCCTTTAAAATGCGAAAGGGAACAGTGGAATCACTAGGTTTCTCTTCTTTTAGCCATCTGTCAAAAACACTTGTCTTTGGTTAATGAACTTCACGCGTCAGTCCTGACAGCCCGCTCCAGGATCAGGACGGAGGAAAGTTACTTCACTTTAAAGTCACTTTAAACAGTCCAAAAAGATCCCCCCCTTCTCCTGCTGTCGAAGGGGGGTTCCACAATTTTAAATGGTGAAATCCAATCTTTTAAAAGCGATTTCCTGAGCTCTAGTTTAAATTGCCTTTGCTTTATTCTGTTTACAAAAGAACGGAAGGATGACTTCCTGTTTAGACCTTCCCGTTCCGTACCAAATTCAAGTAAATTTTTAGAGTCCGATTCTTTCCTACTCGCAAGTCCTTATTTGATGTCCAATTGTTCAAAGTCTAAGTACTCATGGGTGCTTATTTTAAAGTCCAAATTGTCCCAGGAAAAAGGCAGCGCTCTCCGGCAACAGCTATGCGGCTTCGCTCCACGGAAATAGCAGTTGACTCACAGCACCGCGCCACTTCCCCCTCTTCACTTCGGAGCCCGTTAGTGGGTTCCTTAGCGGGTTGGGGGGGCGCTAAAGGTGCCCGCCGAGTCCCATGGTCACAGGCTTCATCCGCCTGTGATTTTTAAGTGGGTCCCTGCTTCGCCGTAGCGGAGAAGACCCGTTTTCCGCAGAGCTAGTCCCTCCAGTTCAGAGGGAGTCCGCCATTGCCGGTGGCGCCACCCCGGAAGAATATCTTTTTAAAGCTAGATGCTACACCACACACACACACAAAATCCAAACGTAGACCTAGCCAAACACTACAATGGTGCTATATTTCAAAAGCCAAAATGCCCAATCCCATAAACACACAGAGGACCACAGAAAAGGTCAATGCAACCATCTCTGCAGGGCAGAGTGTTGAGGCAGAAGTCCAGGGCCACATTCAGCAGAATGATCTGGAGCACCTCCGAAACCAGCAAGGCTGACTTACCATATTTTGAAGCGAAGTATCAAAGAGGGAAAGGAATTGCTGAATTAACTAACTGAACTGGAATACAAAAAAGGGAGGTGTGAGGAGGTCAGGGAAACAAGCAAATGAAAGATAAGATATGGAAAGACTGACTTGTTTTTAACTGTTTTTACCTTGTATTTTTATTTTCGTTTTTTTTTCTTTTACTCTTTTCTCTTATTTTTGTAATATGCTGAAACTTTAATAAATATCTTATTTTGAAGCGAAGTAATGCAACTGTTAGGTCCAGTGTTGTTTTTTCTAGAAAAATAGGTGCCGGTACTCACCGTGAAGTTGTTACAGTAAGTGCCACAGTTTTTAACAACAACAACAAAAAGAGGTGCCGATACTGCATACCCTTGAAGTACCCCCTGGAAAAAAAGCACTGGTTAGGTCTATAGTTTAAAATGATCTAATTCCCTGCCCCGAATCAGGGTAGGGAAGTGAGGTGCTCCACACAGACACCCCAACAATACAGCAGGGTTGGATGAGAACAGGTCATGTACCTTTTAGATTTGTTTTTAAGTAACTGCAACATCACTGTTGTTCATTTCAGCACGGCACCCCACAAAATCCAACAATATGGTAGTTTTATGCATCATGCAGCAAGTTGGTGCACAGTGGTACCTCGGGTTACATACACTTCAGGTTACATACGCTTCAGATTACAGACTCCGCTAACCCAGAAATAGTGCTTCAGGTTAAGAACTTTGCTTCAGGATGAGAACAGAAATCGTGCTCCGGCGGCGCAGCGGCAGCAGGAGGCCCCATTAGCTAAAGTGGTGCTTCAGGTTAAGAACAGTTTCAGGTTAAGAACAGACCATCGGAACGAATTAAGTACTTAACCTGAGGTACCACTGTATACTGAAGAAACTGTGGCCACATTTACGTTAGGATGTTTTCATGTTTCAGTTCTGTTTCACATATTGGTGTGCTCCAATATACCCAACTGCACATGAAAGCTGCCATGCTAAGCCCACTAAACTGAGAGTAAGTCCCACCGAAGTTAGCACGACTTACTTTTGAGTAGCCACATAGAGGACCGCACTCTTTCAGAGATGCAATACCCAGCCTACAACTGCCTGCATTGCACCCAGAATCTGTCATTTGCTTGAGGAAGCAAAGATCCATCAGAAGTGGATTTGCAGTGTGTGTGTGTGTGTGTGTGTGTGTGTGTGTGTGTGTGTTTTAAAAAAATCCAGGTTGGCTCATACATGGATGACTTCTATGGGTGAGTAAGCCTTCACAAAAATAATAATGCCATAGGTGGCACTTTTGTATCTCTTTGCATCACCTTGTACACAATGCTTTTCAATGGAGTCACTTGGCATCCCACATTCACCTATCATTCATCAAGTGAACAGCAGTGAAGTGTACAGAAATCAAGTGTGAATCAGGCCTTTGTTGTGAAGAAATGGGGCCATGACAGTGCTGCACTGCAGATGTTATCAACGTGAGTTTGCAAGGCTTTCACTACTTTTTTTAAAACAATCTTACTGCTTTTGGGAAGAAACATTTGGAGAAGGGCTGCGGCTCATTTGTACAATGCAAGCAGAAGGTCCCAGGATCCATTCCCAATATATACAGGAAGGGCTCAGAGAGGCACTTGCCTGAAACTCTGCTGCCTGCCAGAGTTGACAATATGAACTAGATTTCTGGACCAGTGTTCTGAGTCATAGAATCATAGAATTGTAGAGTTGGAAGGGAGCTTGAGGATCTTCTAGTCCGACCCCCTGTAGTGCAGGAATATGCAGCCATCCCATATAGGGATTGAACCTGCAAGCTTGGCGTTATCAGCACCATGCTCTAACCAACTGAGCTATCCAGGCATAAGGCAGTTCCTTGTGTCCCTTTATAGTGGCTTCTGCCTCCCGCTGTTGCATCAGGCCAGAGGCCCATCCAGTCCAACATTCTGTTCTCACAGTGGCCAACCAGATGCACACTTGCCTGGGAGCAAACCCCAGTGAACAAGACTGTGTTGTGAGAACCACTTACTCATGAGTCAGCACTGCTAAACTTATTTGGCTTCCTTCTGAGTAAAAATGCATAAATGTGCTAATGTCATGTATGCGACTATGGCCGCGAGAGTTCGATTAGCACAAGGATGGAAGACTGAAGAAACCCCAGCTAAAGAATCATGGCAAGAAAATTGATGGACTATGCAGAACTGGCAAAATTGACATATAAGCTACAGGACAAGGATAACTGTGACTTTAAGGATGAATGGGAACCTTTTACAAAGTATCTGAAGATGCAACAAAGAGAACTGGACTCCTTGGCAGGTTTTGAATAAACATTCACAATTTTTTTACTGATAATAATCAGCTAAACAGTTTGAGGATCTATACAACTTTGTAACATGCAGAAAACAGCATTAATAGAGAAAACAAAGACTGGAACTGAGGGAAGTCGGGGGGTGGGGTGAGGTGGGGGGGTTCTGTGTGGGAGGGGGAGGGGGAGGGAGGAAAAATGGGGGGAATAAGGATGATATGTTTTTGGATAATATGTCTTGCTATAATTTTGAA